GGGTGGAGAGCAGAGTACGGGGAAGGCAATTAGAAAACACGGAAAAGGTTGCCTTCTGGATCGGATTTTAAGCTTTGCAAGCAAGACTTACGATGATCTGATCTGGGGAAGTAAACATACCTTCTCCAGCTCCCTCCCCTGATGGTGTGTGTGTATGTGTGTGTGTAAATAAATAAGATCAAGGTAATGCAAAAAAGCAACCATGCCCTACGAACCATCAGATCCGTTGGGATAAATAAATAAATAAATCCATGCCCTTTAAAGGCAGTAAGCCTCAGTTTTTCCTCTGCTAGAAAGACTGTGGGGGGGGGGAGAGAGAAGGGGGAGGGAGAGAGAAAACAAACCAGGGTTGTTGTCATATGACTGACAACTCATGGGGGGGGGAGAAAGAGAGGAGGGAAACTACTGTAAAAATACAATCCCAATGAAACAGGAGGCAGTTAGAACACTGACAATGGGTTACACATTGGGATGGAAGACATACTAAACAGAGTATTTCTTTCTACTTTAATTTTTTTTAAAGGAGATAGCAGAATAAAACTCTTTTTGTAAAAATGGAAAAAACACACATCTGAATGACAACATGAGCCAGTGGAAGCTTTTGGATTTCCTTCAAAATGGAGTGTGTGTGTGTGAGAGAGAGACAAGCACTTACCAGGAACAAGATTTAGCAAATATGAAACACACCGGACTTGGGAGGGAATGATCTCTCTAATTTTTATTTATTTATCTATGGGAATGGCCACAGTGCTAGTTTATATTGGTAGTTGTGCCGGATGAGCAAAGCTAGAGAGAAGCCAGAGAGCCTAGGGCAAGCTTTTCAAAATACACCAGCCACTGTTTCCAAGATTTGACAGCGCTGTTCAGAATAGCAATGCAGAGGAGGAGGAGGGGGAAAGGAGAGCAGGAGAAAACCACCATGCATAAATTTTAAAAAAATATGAGTTATTTCTGAACAAACATGCACACCTGCTTAAAATGAGATTTGGCGGTGTTTTTTTTTTAAAGAGCACACACTTCCACTAAAACAACAAGATTTCCTAAGGAACCCATTCTAAGAAGCCATAGGTCTGAACCCTCCACCACTGGGTGTTCCAAATTAAACAGCTCTTTAAAATAAATAAAATAAAAACACAAGGTTGCCAAGCATTAAATACACATCCTCATTTACCTGTTGCCAATATTCTTCCAGAGACGGTAAAGCGGAGAAGTAACCAGTGTCATGGACTATTTGGAGTTCCTGAAAGATGCTACACATTGGGAGTACATCCATGTCTCTTTTTTTTTTAAGGGGTGGGGGGGAGAGAAAAAAAAGTCCCAATAAACCCTCCACAAAAGCAATGTCCAGTTGCAATGTTTTTTTTTTTTTTTTGGAAGAGAAAAAAAATAATTGCGATACTAACAACGATACAGATGTCTTGAGATGCTCTTCTGCTCCTGTTGCTGCTTGTCGGTGGCAATCGCGGGTGGCAGGTGATGGTGACAGAAATACGACCAGCTATTTACAAAGTCCCACTTCCTCCTCCAGAGGGGGGGAGAAAAAAAACACACCGCGCACACACACACGCACACACAAAAACGGCAGGAAAAAAAAAAAGGAGAACCAACGAGAGCAATCCCAACGCCAGAAACCGGTCTCTTATCTAGATATAAAAGAGATATATACATATATAATCCCGTCCGCTGTGTTGCAGATGCAGAGATGGTTTTTGTTGTTGTTGTTGTTTTTTAAAAAAAAATAAACCAAAGCCAAGTTTCATGCAAAGTTTAATTGCACAGCAATAGGTCCATTGTGATTGAGGTTGGTTGTTTTTTTTTTGTTTTTTTTTGTAATGTTTTGCTTTGCAGAGTCACTTCCAAGGGTTTGCTGCTTGCTGGGTCCTTGCGTTTCGACTCCTCCTGGGGCTTCTCTCGAGAAGATAACTTGCTCAGAATGCCTACTCAATATTTGCAAACACTGCGATAACTGCGAATGTAACCCCGTGCAAAACTTCCCTATTCAAAAAGCTCTCCTTGGCCACCACCTCCTCTCCGGTCTACTCCCTCCTCTTTCTACACCCTCCTCTCTCGCTCTTTTTTTCCTTGCGTTTCGACTCCTCCTGGGGCTTCTCTCGAGAAGATAACTTGCTCAGAATGCCTACTCAATATTTGCAAACACTGCGATAACTGCGAATGTAACCCCGTGCAAAACTTCCCTATTCAAAAAGCTCTCCTTGGCCACCACCTCCTCTCCGGTCTACTCCCTCCTCTTTCTACACCCTCCTCTCTCGCTCTTTTTTTTTTTTCGCTCCGAACCGCGGCCCAATCTCCGGCGAGCCCCACTCGTGACGCCGCGTTCCAATGATGTCAGCCTCGCCCAATAGCCGCCCGCGACGCATCCCGGCTCCTCCTGGCGTGACCGAACCTCGCCGTGACGCCTCCGCCGATTGGGTCGATTCGAAATTCGGCCCGTCCCGATTGGCCGGAGCGGAGGCAGGCTATTTTTAGCAGGGTATATAAGGCGAGGAAGCCTGTTTTAGAGAAGCGACTCGGAGGGGAAGTGCTGGGTTGTTGTGTTTGTCGTGGGTGGGAGGGGGGGAAGGAGCGGAGGGTTTCTGAAGCTGCAATGCTTCGGTTGGCCGCTGGGGGCGCTCCTGAGCCGCGAAGGGGGAGCTGCACATGCGGGAATTTTTTTTTTTTTTGCATTTAGCTCTTCCTGCAAAAAGAAAGGCTATTTACACTTGAGTAGGAGCATTACTATGTATTTTCTCTTGTGCATTTTCACCCACCGCGCAGGGAACTGCAGCTGACCTGATGCTAGGAAGAGACGATCAGGAGCGCTTCAACCTGATTTTTTTTTAAATTTGATTTTTCTCATCATCCTGCTGCCTGGTTTCTTTCCCACCTGCCTGATACTCCGCTGCAGAAGCGTTTCCAAGCCCTCCCACCCCTTCAGTACTGCTGCAAGGGAGCTTGAATCTGCGTCTTCTCTCTCTCTCTCTCTTTTTTTTAAATGCTATTCCACTGAGTTTCAGAAAGATCGCCTTGTAAAAGAAGCGTTGCTAACCTTGGCAGCTTAACTGGCTTCTCTTTAGGGATCCGAAAGCAGGGAAATGACACTTGATTTCCCTCGACCTTCTCCTCTTGGTTCCCCCCCCTCCTCCAGTAATTTTAATACTGAAAGTGGTTTCTTCAGGTTTGGAAATAGTGGTGGTTCACCAACTTTTGAGTGGGCTAGAATATATTCCAGCAAGGCACATGCTTAATTGATTTAGCCATTTGTGTTCTAAAAATTCTGCCCTTCTTGGGAAAACAACCTATTTTTAAACAAGCCTATTATGTTTAAATGCAAAATGCATTTCTCCATGTGGTTCATCTTAATCATTGACTAGTTTCTCTCCCCCCCAATCCACTACAAAACTTAAAATAGGCACGGATGATGGCTCCTGGAAAAAAAGACATGTGCTTGCAAATTTATAAAATGGTTATCCAAAGTGCCCTTCTGCTGGAGTTTTGGTTGGCTACAGAAGCGCTCTGAGCGGGATGAAGTGTTTGCATAACCGTTGCCTTGAATTCACTGTATCTTGAGCTCCCTGTCCTTCAGAAAGTATGGTGGGCAGTATCCTAACAACCATTATCTGCCATGGATTAGCCATCTCTGACCTTTGGCTTACTAGCAGTATGTTTTGAATGCGCTGGTTTCTCCTAATCCCCCATTCCCCGGACCATCGGCTTCCATTGAATGATAAATGTAGAAGGATCATAACAGAAATGTATACATGGCCTTCTCCAGAAATAGGGAACCTTTCCCCTGTCGTAGTAAGACACTGGCTCTTTTATAGACCGACTGGAGGGACGTGAGATACCAAAGGCTGAGGTCTGCTGAAGTGGGAGATGAGCTGGCTTGTTATAAGTACAGTAGTGCCTCGCTAGATGATAATCAGTTCCACTGAGATCGCTGTTTAGTGAAATCATTGTCTAGCGAAAAGGATTGCGCCATAGGAATGCATTGAAACCTGTTTAATGCGTTCCAGTGGGGAAGAATCGTTGTCTAGCGAAGATCGGCCATAGGAAAGCCGCTTTGTGAACCGCCGATCAGCTGTTTAAATCGCGCTCTTGCAAAGCTTAGATCCCGAAAATACCCGTTTTGCGAGCGCGGAGGGAGCTGTCAAAATCGTTGTCTAGCAAAAATCGGTTTGCAAAGCAGGAACCAAACATTGTCAAGTGAAATTCCCCCATAGGAATCACTGTTTTGTGAATCGCTATAGCGATCGCAAAAGGTCAATGTCTAGCGAAAAAACTGTTATGCGGGGTAACTGTCTAGCGAGGCACCACTGTATATCTAAAGTCCCAATAGTTAATGGAGATATGGTGTAGATGTGATTTGGGGAGGCAATGATATATTGCAGTGCAAGATAAGTATTGTGTTGTACTAAGATTAAGGATTCTTAATGTACATGCTCAGTTTGGTCCTGAAGGACAAAACAGAAGTGGCTGTCAGGAGCTCAGGGCTGTTGACACTGATATATCAAATACTTGAAAGATATATAGAGGAGGGGCAAGAGCTGTTCTCTGTCATCCCAAAGTTGAGGACCTATAATAATAGGCCCAAGCTACAGGAAGCTTAGGCTGAAAAAAGTCTTAGTACAATGGTGGAACCAATAACCTTGGATTGTGGTGAATGCTGCAATGCTAAAGACATTCGAGAGAAAATTGGACAGCCATCTGTCAGTTCTGCTTTGATTTGGGTTTCTTCATTGAGCAGGGTATTGTATTTGATATCCTTATGTTAGGCCCCTTCCAACTCAATTATTCGTGTACTTGTGTTTGTCCGTAGCACCATGCAGCCTAAAGGTCCAAAGCATTTAGGGTTTTCTTGGTTATTTTGACTAGTAGCTTGAGTTATCCCCAGAATGGCCTTAAGTGATGATGTTTTGCTGCTTTTGCCCTCTCGCTAAGGTCTAAAAGCAAATTTCTGATTTTAACACTAGCATATTTGGTTATGGAAATATCTGTCCAGGCACTATAATGGCAGTAGTTATTTACAACAACGGTGTTTTCATACTGGCAGTGTCACTGGAATTATTAGTACTTGTAGGCGCTGTGGTGCTTGCTCATATCAGTGTTTCCAACAGGAAGTTCTCAATGAAATGACGCCATGGTTTATTGCTACTATCTGCAACAACAGCTGGGAAAATGGATAAACGGTTGTAAGTATGGAGGTTGTGACACGGTAGGGCAAGGCAGAAAAACCTGGAAGTATAAATGAAGCTGAGGCTCCAATACTTTGGCCATCTTATGAGAAGAGAAGACTCCCTGGAAAAGACCCTGATGTTGAGAAAGTGTGAAGGCAAGAGGAGAAGAAGACGACAGAGGATGAGATGGTTGGACAGTGTCATCGAAGCAACCAACATGAATTTGACCCAACTCCGGGAGGCAGTGGAAGACAGGAGGGCTTGGCGTGCTCTGGTCCATGGGCTCACGAAGAGTCAGACACGACTTAATGACTAAACAACGATAAATGATACAGCATCCTAGAACTGCTGTATTAAATCCAGTGCAGAGCTTGGAAAAATTACATTTGACACTGTAACTCCCAGAATCCCTCTTGTCAGCAGTCCTGGCTGGGGGATTCTGGGAGTTTGTAGCCCCATCCACCCCCAGCACCCCACTCGGAGCTTTAATAGACTCAGAGCTGTGTGAAGGGAGAGAAAGCTGTTCTGGTTTGTGAGGCAGAAGTATTTTCCTCTCCTAATGTCTGGACAGTGTGAGCCTAGTTATTTAAAAAAAGACCGCATCTGTTTTTTCATCTGACTGTGCCCTCATTTTGGTGAGGTAAACTATGATATGACACTTTGCATTATTGTTAATGAAAGAGCCATTCCCATTATTGTTGCCCTAGCAGAATAGCTTCATTAAAAGAACATTTCCTCAGCATCTTCAAATGAAAGATGGGTTAAAAGTGGGTGAATGGTACCCATGAATTTGCAAACAACCTGAGAAAGCTTTGATTTTAGCACTCGTATCGTTAGCAGAATGGTTTGGCAAGACCTCTGGTATATTTCCTTGTTTGTCTGGTATGTGCAGGATCACAGCCTAAATGTGCCTGAACTGAGGCCACATGCTGACAGCATGCTCTCTCGATTTTTGCATTTAGCGTCCAAAATAGTTACACAGCAGCTGAGGCTTTCTGGCGAGCCATATAGCTGTAGGCTTTATACAACTCTTGGAAATAGACAGCAAAAGCATCACCCTAACTGGCAGTTGCTTGTTATCTTCTTTTTCCTTTATCTTCCTTCTGAATCTGTTTGATCTAAATGGTCTGGAAGTCTTCTTCAAGTCTGATCTTGAAATAAGAAAAGGTTCTCAGTTATCCTACAGTGTTTTTTAAATCTCTCTCTCTGTGTGTGTGTGTTTGTGTATTAGGGGACTATCCATATTAACATGTTAAAAAGCACTTTGAAGTTTTTTTTTAAATCTCTCACTCTCTCTCTGTGTGTGTTTGTGTATTAGGGGACTACCCATATTAACATGTTAAAAAGCACTTTGAAAATTCTCTTCTGTGAGTTCCTGGCTTTACAGTGCCATTTTAATTGCTCTTAAAAGTTAAACGTCTTTCAGCTATCTTTGCCTGTCATCATATGTTTTGCCTTAGTATCTTTTTCTGTAAACATCAGTAAAAAGCAATAGGTAATAATTTGAACTGGAATTCACTGAAAGCCCAGTGGAAGGGAAGAATAGAAATTATTTGGGCCACAAATCTGATGAATGTGTTCTAATGTATATTAAAGGAAGGCAGTGGTGGAATTGAAGAGCAGGACAAAACGCTTGGAAGTATCATGTTGAACTGTCCTCCGGGGATGGTGCAACTTCCAAAAGTGGGGATAATTGACTGATCTCTGTCCTCATGTATCAGTGCACGTAAAACAGCTAGGATACTGAAAAGTCTAGTTTAGAATCCTCACACACTAGAATTTGCTAGGGAGGAGGCTTTAGAAGACAAGTGTTTAGAAGATGGGTGCTAAAATCATCAGGAGAGGACTTTGTCTTGGTCTCACCAT